CACCCCCCCCCCCCCCCCCCCCCCCCCCCCCCCCCCCCCCCCCCCCCCCCCCCCCCCCCCCCCCCCCCCCCCCCCCCCGCGCCCGCCCCCCCCCCCCCCGCGTTTCGTAAGCAACAAGTAATAATATCAATATTAATAAAGATAACAAGATAATAATATTAGACAAATAACGTCTATCTGGAGAATAAACCTCGATGTGATAGACCAAGTTGTAGACAATGATAGAAACACAAAACGGGATTCTAAGTGCCTATCTTCGATTTGAAACCGAGTGTCTCGACGCCTTTATATAGCAGCCACTAAGTAACATCGTTAAAACTACTCAAGGTGAATCTGGAATTGAGGTATCGGCTCCAGCCATCTCAAACGGCTTCCCCAAAGAGATTTATGTCAGCGCGCGTAAGACTTAGCAAAGGCCCCTTGCTCCGCTGTAAACGGGCGTACCCGGGTTAAAACCTGCGTTATATTGTTAGGCTACTAGGTTGGCGATTACGATGCCGGTTGCTTCGGATATGATATGATATGATATAGTAGGCGTCCAGGGCGGCGAGTTGAACCCAGTCGTTCCTAGATGAGCAAATGATAGCTCCAGATGTATCTTCTGCTTTGCAGCTGCGCATGGCAGATCCTTTAACCCTCATAGTGCTGAAGGATGCGGAGACCACCTTGGCATGAAGTACATACGGCGAGCTAAAATATTGTTCCAGCTGGTGAATGACACTATACTACAGGTATTACTTTCATATATATAGAAACAGAGCGAGTATCAGGATATCATCCGAGGCGTGTAGAACGAAAAATGTCTTCGGTATGTGTGTATGGCCATCGATTTAGCTTAGGTTGAGAGTTCCTTGCGCAACAGCGACGTTATTTGCATCCCTTTTAGGTCCATCGCATATGACAATGGGATCGACTATAAAACTCTATGCAATTGAAATAGGCTTTAGAGTAGCCATTATATTAGTAATAATGCGACGAAATATAAGAGCGTGGCATGATGAATCTGGAATAAACTAGACCCTAGGTGCAGCGAGTATTAGTGCTGAAGCTATCGTGATATATATATGTGTCCTCCTTGGTTAGACCACTAGAAGATTTCAGTGATCAGCTGTCATGCAGATATGATATAGTAAATGAAGTTGCGTGGTTATAAGGCAAATGTCAGCTAGACTAGGAGAAAATCTCACACTTTTTTGCCTGGTAACATAAAAGACAGATTCGGGTCGTTTGCTTTAGTAAGACAGCAGCTCTCCTTGATCGGGTAGACTGACACTTATTTCAAAGAATAGAGAACAGAAACAGGGTATATTACTTGTCAAATCGTAATCATATGCGACGTCATACTTAAAACAACATCGCATTCATCGAACATCGCCGAAGTCTAGGTTACATGGTTCTAAAATGTATCATACTATATTATAACCTCACATAACTACTGCATTAACTCAACAAGATTAGGTATGTAAAACAAATTAAAGCTCCATATATCTCCATTTAAATGGTTTCATCTACACACTACACTAAATACACAAGAACATAATGAAGGCGGGCATATGGCCTCTCAACACGCGCACTGTCAGTCGTGCACGGCGAGCTCCTAGTAGATAGCCGAAGATACCAATCAGCCTTCTTCCCACGTTCCTAGCGACCAGACCGGAAACGGGGATTCGAGAATCAGCCAAGACCGCGTAATCCAAGACACTTTCTTGTAGAAACTGATCCGAAAAGTTAGGAAAATGTTTGCTCTATTTCTTCTACGCCATGAAACGGCGCTTCAAAAACGTGTCGTGCAGTCGTCCCTCGTCATGTTATGCTACAGTTCGGGGTATTGTAATTACAGAGCAGAACGTGCGTCGATTTACCGGAGGATGACGGTGGGGATGGCAGTGCCGGTTGGGTAACTGGGAGCAGAGCCAGTACCAATGGGGGCACTAGGGGCAGAGCCAGTGCCGATAGGGACACTGGGCGCAGTGCCAGTAGGGAAGATAGGTGCAGTTCCATTTCCGTTGCCGCTGCCAGTGGGGTAGGGGACAACAGTTGCGGTGGCAGTAGCAGTTACGACGCCAGTCTCGCTCTCCTCAGGGGGGCAGTCATCACCCTCGCCCTCGCCCTCGCCCTCGCCCTCACCCTCACCGCTGCCGGTGTTGCCGGTCGAAGGGGTGCTGGTAGTGGCAGCAGGGGCAGACTCGGAAGCAGAAGCGGGGACAGACGCGGGGGCAGATGAAGGGGCAGACTCGGAGGTGACGGCCTTAGCACCAGTAGGCTCAGCAGCAGGGGCAGTAATGTAGACCGTGCTGGCGGGTTGGGTCTCGGTAACGGTGACAGTGGTAGCAACGCACTCACCAGCGCCGTTGCCGTTGCCGTTGCCGTTGCCGTTACCATTGCCGGAACTGTTACCAGAGCCAGTCTCCTCGGCCTTGACGCCAGTGGCAGTGGCGGTCTCGACAGGAGTAACGGTGACGGTGCGGGTACCGGTGGAAGTTCGGGTCGTGGTGGTAGTGGCCTCGCTGCTAACTTCATAGCTGGAACCAGAGCCGTTACCATTGTTGTTGTTACCGCTGCCTGAGCTAGGTTCGGGGATAGGAACAGCAGTAACGGTAACCATCTGGGTAAGAGTGGACTTTAGGGTGGTGACCAGAACAGATCGAGAGCTCTCAGGGCCGACAGTGATGCTGACGGTCTGGTCAACGGTGCTGATAGTAGGGTAAACAGAAACACCGGCGCCATTGCTGGGCTGGGTAGCCTCAGGAGAGTTGCCACTGGTGGAGGTGGTAGGGGCGGGAGTAAAAGTGACGGTGCGGGTGGAGCCGGGGATGAGACCACTGCTGTGAGCACCGACTATAGACTTGGAAACGGACTCGATAGCAGTCACAGGGCAAACAGTGGTAGTGAGGTCGATGACCTCGGTGACAACAGCGGGGCCGGTGCTGTTGCCGGTGGCAGCCGGGCAGTTCGTGACAGTAGGGGCGCACGAGGTGATGGTGTGGACGGTGGTAATGGCGACGGTTAGGGTGGTTGAAGATTCAACGGGGTACCCGGGAGCGGTATCATTTCGTCGCCAGTGGAAATGACGGGGTTGGTGGTAAGAAGCCGAGGCCATACCGGCGAAGAGGCCGAAAGCTACAGTTGCGGACTTCATCTTGATATTATTTGCGGTTTACGATTGTCTAAGTGTGTTTGACAAAGGGTGTTCTTAGTCTGATCTCGCAGAGTATATACTTCGTTGCTGTCGAAAGAGTGGACGTATGCAATAAGCAATGCGGGTATCAATGAGCGAAAGTCGATTTCGCGCAGAAAGGGACTAGAGTTTGACCGACGACGTTGAAGAGAAAAGAGAGACTTGAGATAGACTCGAAACGAGAGAAACACGCTGGTGGTGAGGAAAGAAAGGGAGAAAAGAGAGACACTTGACGATAATGGAGGGTGGTGAGCCTTTTTACACTACTCGTACTTCATTACCGTGTGTACAGATCCTATAGGACCGACTCCTTACCTTGGCGGCTAGCGTGAAGAAGCCCGGGGGAGACAAGTCTTCGACCAAGCATACCCAAGCATACCCATACCCTAGCCCCGTCATGTTGTTGATGGTGAGCGCGGCCTATTAGGGAGGACCGCCGGGACCCACATGATGATGTTGGGCCTGGTAAATGTGGTAAAATGTCGTTAGGGACCGGGGATAGAGGGGATGGGGGGGAAAGTGACAGGGTGAGAAAGAGAAGGACAACAAGCTTGAGCAAGGGAGGGAAAATGAGAAAATGTGTTGCTCTCCTGTGCCACTTGTGCCCCTGAGCCCCACGCACCATTATCGCGACCCCTGTCGGTTAAAAACGCAGGTACGGATTACAACATGGTGAAACCGGCAAAGAAGCCAATAAGAATTGGAGAATCATGGCTAGCTGAGGCTTTCAGTAGCCAGCCATGACCCAGTAAAGCCTTACGTACGCAGCTGGTGCGACAATGACGACGCAGAACGGCGCGCTGCATGAATCTTTTTTACTGAAGTTTATTGTACAATACCTAGGTGCCTTCAGGTACATCGTCTGATCGTGGGTTGGTAAGTAAAAAGTCGGGACGAGATTAAGTGGTTGAGGTAAGACGTTTGAATAATTTTGGCGATCGGCACATCTTCGATTAGCTTGATGATCTGCGATGTAAGCGCCGCGCGAGTAGCGTCATCAGATGGGTAATATAAAATCATCTTGATCATCTTGATCTCTTTGGTAAAAAGTAAGTAGTTTGATTTTTTGGTTTTTGGTTTTTGGTTTTTGGTTTTCTTTTCACTAGCGAAGCACGTATCGATATGTGTTAATGATTCGGCTTGGCTCATATGCGCTGCGGATATCCTAGGAGTACTCCCTAACTGCATTTACAATCGCGATAGCGGTAGCGGTATGTAGCGGTAAACACGTGGAATACAGCTAGCAATCGTAGATCATAAACTCATCATGCTGTGAGACCATGCTATAGTGTAAAACAGGCCTGCACAGAACCGCGAATAGTAGATTCCAGAGTAGATTCCAGAACAGATTCCAGAGCAGATTCCAGAATACGATCCCGCGAAATGATGCGCGAAGCCAAGTAACGCAATCCTCGTGGCTAACCAGGACGTGACGCTGCAGAAGATCCCGCCGAGCAACACATGGGTTGAGACTCCTCGTACGGAATACATACCTAGTAGTCAAGACCGCGGTGCCTACATAGGAGACGAATTATGCAGGGAGGACCAGTCGTGACACGCTCGGCGCATTCCAGCTCGGTTTCCAGCTCAGTATGTATTGCATCAAGGGCGCCTCGCAAAATCGCACTTAATCTCATTTAATCTTGAGCCGAGGATGATTCGACTATGCCAATGGTCTTTGACTTCTAGACCACACGCTCATCAAAGGATCTCAAACAAGCCCCTTGGCGCCACGCCTGTCCTTGTAATGTGTAAAAGCGGTAAGGCTCTTGTAGAATGTTCCACGAACCTCGTTGCCGTTTTTTCTTCTTTCTCTGCGAGGAAGACAGCCACATGTCATATTCTGTGTATTTTCCTCCTTCTCGCCCTCGCGTTGTGGTGCTCTCTGTAAGTATGTAGGATTAATTTGTTGGTGAAGTCCTGCAGTAAAGATCCTTTCCATTCCATTTTCCATGTGGTAGCCGACGTCAATTAACCGTCGACCTGCCCAATCCACTCTTTAATTACGGTCTTTTAAAGATCTAGCATTCGCCTAGTCTTTTAATTGGTCCATGCTGACAAGGTCTTTTAGACACGCAGGGTCCCAATCCTTCAATTAACGAAGGTTGCCGAAGGTTACCTCATTGAGATTGGTGAAATTATCAGCAGCTGAATTCAGAAATATGCGCGGGACTAGGATAAGGCTGGCTTGAAATCAGGAAATTCGGGCAAAATAAAGAAAAAGGAGCCCACTTGGGTGGATCTCTCATTATTCTTATTGCTAAAACACCGCCGAACAATATGGAGAAAAAGGGGCTGACTTACTGTTTCACTAATAATTCAGCAACTGTCATTTCGTCACCAAGCGCCATTAGGCAGAAAAGAAAAAGAATTTAAAGAAGGAATAATTTCTTGAGAGTTGTCGGTAATTGCACACATATCTTCATGCGCATGGCGTAACTAATAAAACGCCACATTCGAAATTCCCATGTCGCTCGCCTCGGTCCTCCGGTCCTACATGGCGAATTTTTATTAGCACCGATTACAAGTTCAATTAGCATACCCGAATAAGTTCACTTTCACTTGCGGCATAGTTCGGACTAGAGAAATACTGTTTGAGGAAGACTCGATTCTTCCGCAAGCATCACCCAGTTGAATTGGGATACTTGCTCATACATCTACATCTGATCGCCAAAACGATTCTTCCTGCACTAAGCAGACTAAATGCAAGAACGCCACCTACTCCCCAGGCCCGGTTGATGGACCATGTGGTATAATTCTTTCCCGCCCTTTATATGCCTGCCTACCTAGTGTTGAATACTTCCGAATGCCGCCAATCTTTCCTGTAGAACTTTTCTGGTATAGATCCCCCTTTGAGAACCCAGTCCTGTAAAAACGCCGATGTTGAAATCGATTATGCAGTTCCCAATGGAAATTTTTAGCAGGCAACTCCCCACATCTTCATGCAATTATCATCAATTTTCGTAAAAATGAAAACGCCGGCCTCCTCATATGGGAGACAATCATTTGGCATACTTGGCGCGGAAGAACTTGGCTGCGTTGACCATGTTGACCAACGCCTCCTTAGTTTCCTTCCACTGACGGGTCTTGAGACCACAGTCAGGGTTGATCCAGAGTTGCTCAGGTTTAAGGTACTGAAGCATCTCTTCGATGCGGACCTTGATCTCCTCCTCGCTGGGAACACGCGGGGAGTGGATGTCGTAGACACCGGGACCAATGTGACGAGGGTAAGCCTCGTCGACAAAAACGCCCAAAAGCTTCGAGTCGGACTTGCTGTTTTCAATAGACAGCACGTCGGCGTCAAGAGCGGCGATGGCGTGGAAGAAGTCTTGGAACTCGGAGTAGCAGAAGTGCGAGTGGATCTGAGTCGAATCCTCGACACCGACGGTAGAGAGCTTGAAGGCCTTAACAGCCCAGTCAAGGTAATCCTGGCGCTCCTTGCCGGACCGGAGAGGTAGACCCTCACGAAGAGCGGGCTCGTCAACCTGGATGACATCAATGCCAGCCTTCTCGAGGTCAACAACCTCGTCACGGAGGGCTAGAGCAAGCTGCTCAGCCTGGACGGACTGGTGAACGTCATCACGAGGGAAAGACCATCTCAAGCAGGTAACAGGACCAGTCAACATGCCCTTCATGGGCTTCTTGGAGACAGACACGGCATACTTGGACTCCTTGACAGTCATGGGGGCCGGGCGAGAGATATCACCGACGATGATAGGAGGTCTCACACATCGTGAACCGTAGCTCTGGACCCAAGCGTGCGTGGTGAAGGCATAGCCGTCCAAACGCTCACCGAAGTACTGAACCATGTCGTTTCGCTCGGGCTCACCGTGGACGTAGACATCTAGGTCGAGTTCGTCTTGGATCTTGACGTTGGAGTCAATTTCCTGCTCAATGAACTTGTCATATTGAGCTTCCGTGATCTCTGCCTTGGTGAACTTGTTTCGTTGCACTCTGATTTCTTTGGTCTGGGGGAAAGAACCAATGGTTGTAGTGGGGAAGAGAGGGAGGTTAAGCTTCTTCTGCTGCTGCGAAATTCGGGATGGGAACTCAGACTTTCGGTTGTAGTCTGAGGCAGTAATCTTGGATTGCCTCTCTTTGACTTGAGGGTTATTTGTTCGCTTCGAGGTAGCACGAGCATTCAGAGACTTGGCGTTTGCCTCAAGAGCCTCTCGAACAGAGGCGGGTCCCTCGGTAACAGCCTTAGCAATGATGGCAATCTCAACGGTTTTCTCAGAGGCGAAAGAGAACCAGTCAGCAATTTCAGGGTCCAGCTTCTTCTCGCTGGCGAGTGTGTGGGGAGTGTGGAGGAGAGAGCTGGAAGTGGCAACGATGACGCGGTCCTTGCCAAGCTTCTGGATAGCAGTCTCGGCAATTTCAATGGCACGCTTCAGGTTGGTCTTCCAGATGTTTCGGCCATCGACAAGACCGACAGAGAGGGTAGTCTTAGGCCCAAGAGCACTAATGACGGTCTCAAGCTGCTCAGGGTTGCGGACAAGGTCAATGTGGACAGCGTAGACATCCTTGGGGAGGAGGTCAATGTTGTGGACGATGTCACCAAAGTAGGTGGTGAAGACCAGGCTAGGGATCTTGGCAGCCAAGCTAGCGAACTTCTCGTAGGTAGGCTTGAAAGCGGCCTTAGTCTTGGCAGGCAGATCAAAGACGAGGACAGGCTCGTCAATCTGGACAGTCTCGGCACCAGCTTCCTTCAGCTTAGCGAGAAGCTCTTCATAAACAGGTAGAAGCTTGTCAAGAAGGTCAATGGGGTTGACGCTCTGGCCACGGTCGGCCTTGCCTAGGTGGAGGAAGGACACGGGACCGAGCAGTACGGGGCGGGTGTTGATACCAGCCTCCTTAGCCTCGAGGAACTCAACAACAGCCTTGGGGTTGGCGGTGAGCTTGAAGGTCTGGTTGTCTTGTAGGGTAGGCTTGACGTAGTGGTAGTTGGCGTCAAACCATTTTACCATTTCTAAGCTGGGAACATCGACACCACCCTTCTGGTGACCACGGCCCATGGCAAAGTACTCATCGACACGGTCGAGGTTAGCGCTGGAATATCGCTCAGGAACGGCCTGCGGGATTACATATTAGCTAATGCATAGCGGGTAGCGGTCAAGTCTGATTGGTAACTTACACCAAAGTCTTGGATGTGAGAGAGGACTTGGTCGTAGAGAGCAAAGTCATTGCTAGGGATAATATCTACACCGGCATCCTTCTGGATCTTCCAGTGGGCAAGACGAAGACGCTTGGCCTCGGCGAGGAGGTCAGCTTGGGAGAGGTTGCCAGCCCAGTCTTGGAGGAGGTTAGCAATGCAATCTTGAGCAGCAATATTTAGTACGACGGCAAAGGCCGACAGAGCAACTTACAAGCTTCAGTTGCCTTCTTCAGGTCACGGTTCACACCCATACGGGGGAAACCCAGAACTGCTGATTGAACCATCTTGAAGGTGGTTCGAGGTATCTGGGGGGGGATAAGCTTTCTTTGACGATGTTAGAGATGTTCTCTCTCCGGAGTAGAGTGTAGAGAAAGAGGTGTCAGGTCTAGACTCACGAGAAAGACAGACTGCTACTTCCAACTCTCTATATGTAAAGAGGGTTGGATCAATTGATATGTGACAGCGGTCTCTGGAGGAGGGGTAAAGGAATTTAAGGAAGAAAAGGATGATAAGAGGAAGAGGAAGGATTCGTAAAGGCGTAAGCAGAAGTAAGCGGTGAAGGTGGGGTTCTTATGTGAGCTCAGAGTAGAGAGACCAGTAGAAGAAGATCTGGAGCGTTGCTGGTTTAATATACCTAAGATACCTAAGATACCTAAGGGTCGAATGCATGGTTGGTGCTGGTTGATGAGGGGTTAACAATTTTTTTCTCTGTTGTCGTGCTATGAGCTGACCAAACAGAACCAAACAAGAGCCACTAAACATGCACTAGCTCTATCCAACAGGATGTGTTCAGGGTCCGAAAGCGGGGAGCAGATACTCCATCAATAACCCCCCATGGCTTCCTTAACATCCATTAGGTTGACTTGGTTGACTTGGTTGGAAGGTTGAGGCTGGTAAACCCCCCCTGTCCACCTTCCCACTGTGCCCCTCGTCGCTAAGTAAGCAGTAAGATAAGGTTCAACGTTTACATAGTACATCAATGTAAGGTTCCAAGGTTGTTTGTCATGCTGTTAATACCTCACGTAAAGAACGAGTTGTAGCACGCCTTCTGCTAAACAATTAGGTACAATAACATAGGTACATCTTTAGTCTGCGGACTCGGGGTTCCAATAGCAAACTAATTCACCGACCCGTGCAGAACAGAAATGCACTCCATGTATTAAATCTACTGTATCTCCACAATTTCTATGTTTCTCCGGACGACACAACTCGGCTCCCGACCCGATACCTTACATATTCAAATCCAAGCGGGCCAAGTAATCCTTCGCGCGTGGAATATGTAAAAATCCTAGGTGTCAATGGCATCAATGGCATCAATGGCATCAATCTGCTACCCTTGTTCCCTTGTTCCGCATCCATGATGCCACCCTAGGTAATCAATGCCGCTTCGGCCGAACCAGTCTCCTGGATGCATATAATAGCACCGCACCCGATCGGTCCCGGTTACATTCCTTCACATCAGAGTCGTATTATTAGTTTACAGGCTACTACCGGACTAACTACTACCTACCTACCCTAGGTACCTAATAAATAAATCATAAGTCTGCATCTATCTAGGTTAAGTAACCAACAGCCGCATCGAGGCACTATGTCCTTAAGTGGATTCTGGCAATTGCTAAAATCAACATCGATATGTCAATTTTGTCGCTCTACCGCGCAATATACGATCGACGTTCGGCCTATTCTTAGCGTATATCTTATTTCAAAGCGTTGAGTCTATCCAAGTTTAATGATGGCCAAACCCACATTTTGTATTATTCTCGTCAGATTTTAGTCTACATAATGCAGGTAAGATAAGAATCCAAATCAATTCGTCCAGAAGTGTTAAGAGTTTTGACGTCAATTCCAGGTAGTTACAAGATTACGAGTAGAAATCACAAGTTTTATAATTGACTTCCGACAGCGTGTCTAAATATAAAGCACCTTCTATATCGTGAGCGTATAACTTGAGCATCAATACCAAGCCATGTTTATCTACCTAGGTAGGTACCTAAGCTAGAGATGGCGCGGGTTTAACCAGAATATGAACCGCGGCATGTTGAGTATTCGAGAAGAAAAAACAATCAGTTACCACCGAGTCGGTGACAGGGAGAGATTATAAAATCCTGGGTATCTTTGAGTCTCATGATACATGATGTATGGTCAGAACAATGCAATAGAGGAGAGACTGTGTTATCTCGCCGCAATAAGGGGAAGCCACATAGATAGACTCCCATAAGTCTACCACTTTCCTTGAACTCACTATCAGATGGTAGCTTCTTCTCGGCGATAAATTCCGTTGTAGAAAGAGCTACATATATGTACTTAATTACTCGTAGGTATCTGGATGATCTGAAGTAAAGTTGAATGGTCCGACACCAAATGTATCGAAGCCATTTTCAATGTTAGGTACTGGCCCCCTATCCAACTTTGGTTATATGGCTTCCGAGTGTTTCTTGGAAATCCATGACAGATATTAACCAAAATCCATTCACTTTCAATTGGACACTATTGAGAATGTCCATTTTCTGTTGCTATCGTACCCAGCGGACGGCAGGCCGAGAAACTGGTCAGGACGTATTTGAACTTCCAATTCGCCCGCCACGTGTGAAGTTATCCAGTACATCGTTCCCTACATCTGGATTTGAACTACCGCCACCAGAGATCGTAGCTAAGGAAACACCATCGCTTTCACATAACCAAATACAGGAGGCTACGGTAGATCCTACTATTATCGAAATCGAAGATTCGGATGATGATGAACTGGTACGGAGTACCAGAAACTCTAGCACGGGTACTCTAGGAGCTATTAGAACCAAGTTTATTAGACGCTTGTCTCAAAAGTCCGAATCTAAAAGACATTCGCAACAATCTCTTGGTACAAGCGATGGGGAGATCGCACGGCGGGCTGAACTGAAGCGACTAATGCGAAAAAGAATCCAGGAGGAGTTGAAAAGTGAAAAAGAACAAGAAGAGGTCGAGACGAAAACGGGAAATACTGAAGAATCGAAACCGTGCAGCACCGCTAACGTCGGATTTCCTCGTGGTGGGCCGCGCGATAATATAGAATTTTGTGTCTTGGATGTGAGCGAAACTAGTCCTCGGGATAATGACTGTGGCTCACCGGGTGTTATGCTCCTTGCTCTCCCGGCCAGCCGTTCTCAACCAGGAATTTCCCTTCGCCGGTGTAGCTATCCCGGTTCTGGTTCAGCCTCTCGAGCTCACGATGGCACCAGTCTAGAGGGTCGTGGAGCCGTGAGGGCACGCAACTCCTTACCACGATTTCCCTCTTCTCCCCAGCTAACTCCCGTTCATATACCGAGTGATAGAGGCTCGGAATCCCTCTGTTCATGGCGACTTTCCTACAGCGCCGAGCAACTGGCGAGGTACATTGGGGTACCCGAGGCGATTAACCCTGACGAAACCTATGAGCTCGCTGAAATCAATACCCGAGACGGTATAATTGATAGAGAAGATGAAAGTATGAGCCAAGTTGAAGACAATCTGCTATGTATCAAAGGGCCCGCGACGAACGATGAACCAGGTGAGGATAGAGTTCACGACAAATTGATCCTAGGCAAATGTCAGCAACATATCCAAAGCGACACGGAAAATTCTGAAAGTCTATACAGTGGAGGTCTTGAAGACACAAGCTTTAACCAAGATTCGCCATTAGATATATGGTTACGGAGCCAAGAGTTGCAATCGGCGTCAACTACACCAAGTAGAAAGACGAGTGATATGGTACAGCGGATCGTTCCAGAAAGCTCTGGTGTTAGCGGCCCTCAAAACGCTTTAGACAGTGTATCTGGAATGCGGCATAGTCCTCTAGAAGTACAGCCACGCAACTCAAATGAAGATACAAGAGTCGAATTAGTTGAGATGCTAAGTAATTGGCCTAGCGAGTTGCAACAGTTGCAACGGTCTATGAGGAGACCTAGCGATGCCTTTGATGGCCAAGGTTTGAAGCCAATTGACCAGCCTCAAGAAGCCTCTTCATCTTTTTACGCATCTTCACGGTACACCACCAAACCCAATAGTTTCCAGAATGTGGAAAAAGAGTCTCGTTTGAGCCTGATGGAGTTTCTGGGAGGCCGGAAGATGGTGGCTCCATTCTTAGGACTCAATCGTGCGTTTGTCTGCTATATGAAGTATCAGCATGGTGTCTAACATTAATATCTAGGGTTCACATCGTCCAATCGTACGACAGATGCCGAGAAGTCAGACGTCAGCTCGTACAAGACTGCTCCTAACAACGCCTCAGCGTTAGACGTGGCTATACAAGGAACTCGGCAAATACAACGTCCTACGGCGGAGACAAACTCAGCAGCCGTCTCAGATACGGCAAGTTTCCGACAACGAGAGACTGAGCTTAGATCGATTGAAAAGCGATTCGGACGAACTCATCCCCGCCGTGATACTACCGCTCCGATGGTCAGCAAGTTCCGAGAGGAATTTAGTGAACCCAGGACCAGAACTTCGATAATTTCCAAGAACTCCATACTAGCTAAGTTTCACTTACAGATTCACAAAATAGCGAAATATCCAACTCCAGATTTACGACGGTATAGTGTACGCGACACCAAGTGTAGGAGTGAACCGAATCTAGACGCTGAAGGTGCTCGCCTTGGGCAACATAAAGTAAGTACGAGTACTGTCAACAGAAAGCAAGTGACCTCGTCTCAAGGATAGGAACCTGAAGATGTTGCAAACTCTGTGGACCCGCGGCAACAGACTGCTGTATTTGATGGGCACATCCCCAAAATTCGACGGCAAGAGGTGAATTCTTTAGAGTCTCTAGGGTATCAAAAAACCACTCATATCGATCATATACTCCACCCGAAGCCAAGAAAAGAACAAGGTTCGTCTCTTAAACCACCATCTCGCCACGAAAACAATAGAAGTCAACAATCAGACATATCTAGTACAGTCCTCAGAGAATGGGTAAACTTGATGAATGATCAAGATTTGAAGCCCCAGGACGAACCGAAAACGGAGCCGCAAAGCCATGCTCTATGGAGATTCCGGACACCTCCTGCATCATGGGCAAAATGGCCCTCACATACACGCCAACAGAGAACGGGGCCGGCAGGAGAAGAAGATAATGTGATCCCGAGAGATTTCGCAGTTCGAGTAGAATCAAATGGTAGTGGTACGACGTGGTCTACGGATAGACTTGGCGAGTCATCAAAGAGACACGTTACCCCTACGCGAAGTTTATCCGCTCAGCTTGGTAGAGTTGTGAAAGGGGGTTTAAGCAGAGTTGTTCATGGAACTCTAAATCGGGCTTCCTCAGAAACATACCATACTCGACAGAAGCTGGACGGACACTTGGAATACCCCGAGCTTGAGATTCTCCCGATACAAGGAGGCTACGAAGACCTACAGGCACTCGAACAACAAATCGATACAATGAAGCGCGGGTCTGCGGCTGCAGAAAGCCAATTAGCTAGCCTGGGTATGGATAACATGCGACCGCCCCTGAGCGCACGCCTGGCTGAGGAGGTACATATGATACAGCATAAAGTCCCCAGAGAGGGTTTCCAGGATGACGAGGCCGCGGTACAAAATTCACTAATAATTCCTATCACAACACTTGTGCAAGCAAAACCGACTCCACAACGTATTACCGTAGCGGCTAGTCGATCCAGAGCACCCGGATCCTACGACAGTGACGAACTCCGTGGACATGAACAAAGACCAGAAAACAACATCGTAATGGCAGAGGATACTCGCAGCACGCGGGCAGTTTGACATCGGTTTGTATGATTAAAGTTTATGAGATATAGTACCATGATGATATACTTCTATTAGGCAAGACGCGATACAATGAGGCTATAGCTTATATTAGACAACCCCTAATCTTCATAGAAAGGCGCATTAAAAGCGCCCCAGGGAGAGGTGGCTATGATTAGTGAAGGTGGAGGGATCCATAGATTACAACAAGTTAGCATGAGTTATAGCCGAAGGGGGACAAGGAGGCACGCCCCGCGGTAGCATTTGCCGGTTGTCGAGGGTATTGTATCTATCAATATCTGTATGTACGGGTGGAGTTCATCAGGCTCGATGTTTGTAGTAATATAGGGCCTTACTACCCATTACATTCCCCGACTCGATATCCAATTATCCTGAGTCGAATGCCAGAAGCAGCGAAGAGCGGTGAGTTAGCCAGGTAAGTATATTGGACATCGTACACATCTCGATAGCTTGGCCATGGGAGCGGAGCTCTTCGGACTCTGGTCGCGTAGGCCACGTGTGATCGTTTCCGAGGAGCGGGGAGCATCCGGGATTCTAGGTGCTAGTTGTTTTAGGTAGGTATGTACTCGGCTGTCCTCCGCGTTGGCGTGGAATGCCCCTGTTCAGTCGGCGTTTTTTCACGGCCAGATAGATACCTTGTTCTCATGGTGTTGTACTATTGAATATATTCGGATTTAGGGGTCGTTTGCTTGCCCGTATATATGGAACATACGTGCGAGGCTAGGACGCTGAAGCCCCTAGATTAATTTTCGTAGCATCCTTAGAATTTCGTCGTCTTAGGTACTATTGTGTTGTCCTCCTAAGTCATCGTATTCCTAGACAGATGATTAGGTATGAAGCTGAGAGGAGAAACTTCCACGTAGCTATTAGTTTAGCGAGGCTAAGCCGGACTTCATGGTAATTAGGTTGTGTCATGAGGTGGAGCAAGAAGCAAGGAAACGACTTCGTTGTATGCCTACATACTGAAAGTATCCTTTTCTTTTTCTTCTTGATGTCCCATCTAGAATCCTGACAGGCCGCTCGATGGGAATAGGGTACCAGCGTCGAGAATACAAGATATCGATGTATGATTGGTATATTTCTGTAAATACTAACGTTGTTGTCTCCAGTTGTTGCCTAGAGGACCACAGCAGCAATTCCGGAGACAGGCGATGCACCAATCCAATGCAATATCTGTACTCGAATGTTGGTACGTTTAAATTGGCGGTCTGACATAGCTAATGAATGACAGTAGCTTCTGTATATGTGTTCTTATTACTTGCAGGCGACTGACGCCGCTCCCCCAACTTAGTGTTTCTCAATAGGTCGACTTATAGTAGGAAGGTCGATCAACTCGTAATTATCGTGACAGCGAGGACGGTGATGGAGAGGGGGTTTGACGTGGCATACAGACTGCGTTCATAGACAGATACGTGGAGGCATATCTATGACTGGTGTCTATTGCAACGCGCAAACGCTGGTTTGGACGTTGAAGCCGTAGACTTTTGTAGATTTGTTCCGTCCTCGATCGCTTCGCGATTTAGGAGCCCCCATAGGGAATGATATATTGAAAGATACAACACCTAGGGTCTGCAACCACAACGTAAGTAGGGTAGTAGCCGTCCTTAACAGATCCAAGAATCCAAGCTATCACATCCCGCGGTGATGTAGCTTCTTCGTCAGTCGTCATCAAAACTACAACATGGGGGCTAAAACGGTTGATCTGCAAGTCAGCCCTCGCAGCCAATTATTATTTAATCTTGCTCGCCTGGCATGATCATTGGCTGAGGGATCTCAAAGGATGTATAAGCGGGAAGATAGCGGTCTGCGCATTTACCGTCTGGGCTCTTCTGGACCCGATAGTTTGGTTGCCGTTGGTTGGGGTGTGGTATTCAGGAGTAACAACCGCATTTGTGGGATATATTGTGGGATATATGTAAGAGACATGCATATGGTCTTCCCGTGTATCCCATGTCTTAAACGGCTTTTTGTTACCGAAATTCTTGCTCGAAAGAACTGGGTTCTAATATGTATTAAGGCAAAGGGGGGAGCTGTTGTGAGCCTATAACTTACAAGCCTTGTCAGCTTGCCTCGCCATGCTGCCTAGCTCAGCTATTAATAGCTATAACTAACTTAGGTACTTTGGCACGAGAGCATTATAATGAGCCGTGCGCACTTCTAACATTACCGCGTTACAAACTATCAATTTGTTCCCATAGAAATGGGTCGACAGAATATGTACGTACTTATCTTTTTTTCTTATGTAGTGTAGGTTAGGTGGTTAGGTAGTTATTTAGTTTGTTTTAAGAATGACTTACATAAAGGAGGGTAGCATTACCAGTAGTACTGTAGGTTAGGTTGATTACCAAATAAAAAATGATTATACTAGGTATGTACTACCTATCTACCTATCATAAAGCGCGTTGAAGCGTTCCCGCCGTTCCGGAATCTAAATGCATGTATCGTCCCAAGCAAGCGTTCCAATTCGGTCACGCCACACGGTAACACAGCATAAAGTCTTTACCATACGGACGGGTCAGCTGGGTCAGAGGTACGTACATACAAAAAGTGTACCGCCGATATTAGTTACCGAGGATACCCTTAATCAAATCGATTCCCCGACAATCATATCATAGTCATGTCTTTTTGTTTCTTGATACTTAATGCTCAATGCTTAATTGCGTAATTATTCATGCGTTTTGGCGTAGTATGGAGATCTATTTGAGGCAGGTCGGTAAGTAAGTACTGTCTTTTATCTATGTAGGTAGGTAGGTACCTGTATGTAAGTTACCTACCTAAGGTACATACCTAAGGTTGGTAGTCTAAATGCTCTAACCTAAGTGGTGACTTGCCTAGCCTTTTCCTTACATATTGAGGCCCATAAGTCCACTAAAAAGTCTATCCGGGCTGCCGGGTATTCTCTAGGGAGAGAGGTACGTACACCCAGACCACCCAGACACCAAAGCTGACCTGACCCAAGGCGTATGAAACCAAGACTTCTTTCTTTTCTTTCCCATCGTACAACATGTGTACCGTAGAACCGGGATTCATGTGAAACGTAGCTCCAGTAAAGTTTGATATATTACCCCATTATTATTGTTCACATCTTACGCCTTGAATCTTTTTGACCTATCATCTTCCTTACTTCTATGGAAGCATGGAAAACGTGGGAATACATATGGAAACATGGGAGCGTGGGAGCGTGGGAGCATGGGAGCATGGGAGCATGGGAGCATGGGAGCAAGGAAGTTTGTCTCCTAGGTTTTGTCCTTATCCCTTTACGGTACAAAACCGAGCTCGGGTTTTGGTCTCTCACCGACAGAAAGGCGCCGCATGCGCTCAGTTCCAAATTGCTGGGTCGTAATGGGTTATGCTTGGGTCGGCGCGTTCCTATTCTTGGGGCCCCAAGTTACGTTCATCACCTCACTTTTGGTAAGGTCGGCTTGCATCTCATTGCAAGTCTCGACACCCTCCATCTGCAAGCAAGCGGGGATCCTTTCCATCTATGGCCAATAGTCCATCGTCTCGATATTGGTCGCTATCTTGGCGGGGCTTTTCTCCGTAGTGCTGGAACCAATCCGTTGCCATTATTGATCACCAAAACCCTACCATAGATACTTCCCGCAGTCCCCCCGATCTACGTAGAAGAAGAAAGAGAGAGCCTCTTGTTTAATGGTTCTCCTTTACGAAAATGCAACCTCGTCTTAAAGCCCAACTAGACCAATCATAAAACCATTAACCGAACGTAAATATCTTCCTGATGAGTTAGCTATCGCCTACGATGAACAGAGACCAGGAACAGCCCCAAATCGACGCCGATTCGGTCCTATCGGTGTCGACGGACGAAGATGTTTTCGATACTCTTTCACTTTCTGCCGATTCCATATCCATGTCCGACGAAGTTCGCGATTATGTCTATGAGAACTCGCGGCGTTATCACAAATACCAAGAAGGCCGTTACCACTTTCCCAACGACGATGCTGAGCAGGAGCGTGAGGATATGCAACATGCAATGTTTATGCTTCTATGCGACAGCAAACTACACTTTGCGCCTCTTAACAACCCGCGCTCAATACTTGATATCGGTACAGGGACGGGCATCTGGGCGATAGAAAGTAAGTGCGCACTTCAGCTAAAAGTGATTTACAAATTACGCGATCTAATTCAGTACTAACAAGTTCGCTTTTGAATACAACTAGTGGGCGATGAGTATCCAGACGCAGAAATATTAGGGATAGATCTGAGCCCCATACAACCTTTATGGGTACCCCGTAATGTCCAATTTCTCGTGGACAATATAGAGGAAGAGTGGCTTCAACCGGTAAATTCATTGGACTATGTTCACGGTCGCCAAATGGCATCGACAATTCGGGACTGGCCCGCACTTATGGCAGAGGTATTCAAGTAAGATATTCACACAGCGACACGTTTTTTTCCTGCTCACCGCAAGATTGTTGACCTACAGGGTGCAGGACATTGAAGCCGGGCGGCTGGTTCGAGTTACAAGATCTGAAATGCTGCGTCCAATGCGACGACGACACAATGCGCGAGGGCGATCTTGTCGCAGAATTCCTTAGCAAAATCGCGGGAGCGATGAACATTCTTGGCGTTGACTGTATTACCGCCTTGGAAAAGTACGAAGAGTGGTTGAGGGACGCGGGCTTCATCAATATCCAAAGGATAATACTGAAAGCCCCGCTGGGAACGTGGCCTAAAGATCCACAGCAGTCAAAAATCGGCCTATATAGCCGGAATATGATGTACGACGGCCTGCATGGTTTTGCCATCAGGCCTTTTACCCACGGATTTAACTGGACGCCAGAGGAGGTTGAAGTTTACTTGGTGAACGTACGAAAAGCAGTACTACGCTCTAAAGCACACATTTATATTCCATTCCATTGTGTTTATGCACAAAAACCCCCAGAGCCGGCCGCGGCACGCTCAAGATGAGCTATTCCCTTTACGATATCGTGGTGGTTTGATACTAGTACGGACTGAGGGTTCTCCCGGCGCTAGCG